TGGTTTATTACCATTTCAAATCCAATTTGAAAAAATGAGGGATGAGGTTATCTCTTCTGGAATAGGTTATTGAAAGTTGTCTGGCTTCCCAGCACTGCCCTTTGAGAACAATATAAAAAGATTTAAAAAAAAAAAAAAATTATATGCTTTACTCTTAATGGAGTCTTTACTCTCTCTAAGTCAGAAGTATGAGGTTGGATACTCCTTTTCATCATACCTTTCTCAATTCCACAGCTTACACCAGGCAAAGTGCCTTTGACCAGAGATACTGTCTGATCTGGCCTGGGCAGCTATTTACCACCATTTTCTCCAACATACAACCTAGCATTCAATAAACCAAAAAACAAACCTGTTGACATCAAGTTAACTGTGACTTATGGTGACCTCATGTGCTACAGAGTAGAACTGCGCCATAGAGTTTTCTTTGCTGTAATCTTTATGGAAGCAGATCTCCACGCTTTTCTTTCATGACACCACTGGATGGGTTCAAATCAACAACCTTTAGGCTAGTAGACAAGTGTAAACTGTTTGCACTGCCCAAGGGCCTAGCATGCAATAGGTACTCCATAAATGGTCCTTCAGGAATACCACGTATTACTGTGTTCTATTGTTTTTTTCTTTCACCGCCAATACTCAGTTAATTCTGCCTCAGAGAATGTCTTTTATACATGCTTTTCTTCCTTTTTAGCTTATAAGTTATTTCCATTTCTTTCTGATGAATATTATCCTTAATTATATTTGGGATGAAAAATAGAGATAGAGACTTCAGTTTCAGCTCTGAACCCTCAGACTTAACAAACTCACCCTTCCCACTGGATCATACTATTTCCTTTCAAAATGTGATGCCTAGAATTAAAGTGATTTTGTTTTGTTTTATTTCTTTCAGGAAACAATATCAGAAAATTGTGTGGTGATTTTCTCAAAAACATCTTGTTCGTACTGTACAATGGCAAAAAAGCTTTTCCAAGACATAAACATTAACTATGAAGTAGTGGAGTTGGACATGCTTGAATATGGAAACCAATTTCAAGATGCTCTTTTTAAAATGACTGGTGAAAGAACTGTGAGTATATCTTCTGTGGTACTGTTTCGCCAAAATAGGTGGACATGGACATCCTGAACCTTACTACTCGTGTTAGGAAGAGTGAGCTAAGCATTCTCTGAGGAGTTTATATTGACCAAGAAAACTCAGATCTGGTAACCAGATTCTTAGCATAGGAAATAACAGAATTAGTTCATTTTATAGTTATTCTCACTGTGTTTGTGTTTTAGCTGAAAGAGTGAGGTAATGGTATCATGAACACTTGTCTATGATTCTTTAAGGGCCTCTTGGAACTTCTCTCAAGAAGAAAATACACTTTCTTCTTTTATTTGGACACTATAGACTAGAGTCAGTCCTCAATTACTGTTAAAAAGAATGCTTTAGTGCTCCATATTTTTAGCTTTTTTTTTGGTAAATTTTTCCATAATATGCATAATCAGAAACATCCAATGCTGCTATTTTCCTTCTTGCTTATGTGTGCATAGAAGTTTACAATGTGCACTTCCCTCTTAGTAAAACAAATATAGGAAAGAATCACATAGAGAATATTTTATGTGTTATATGGCATAGGAGCCCCTGGGTGGTGTAGCTGGTTAAGGACTTGACTACTGGCCAAAAGTTTGGCAGTTAGAATCTCCCCAGAGGCACCTTGTGAGACAGGCCTGGCAATTGACTTCCAAAAAGTCTTAGCCATGAAAACCCTGTGGAGCAGGTCTATGTTGCGTACATGGGGTTGCCAGGAGTCAGAATCCACTTGATGGCAACTAACAACAACATTATGTAGCATAGTGGTTAGGAATAGGGGCTTTACAGTCAGGTTGTCCTGGATCTGAATTCCAGCTCTGCCATTTATATCAGTGTGATCTTGGGCATGTTCCTGTTTCTCAGTTTCCTCCAAAATAGGGCCCAAAATAGTACCTACCTCAATGGTTGTAAAAATTTAATGAGAGGATTTGTGAAAGAGTTTAGTGTGCTGCCTAGCTCATAAAAGTACCCAGTCTGTGAGCATCTGTTATATGAAATTAGTTTTTACTTCTGACACTAGGGTGAGACCTAATCTGTCATTGTTTGTTTGACAGGTTCCAAGAATATTTGTCAATGGAACTTTTATTGGAGGTGCAACTGACACTCATAGGCTTCACAAAGAAGGGAAATTGCTTCCACTCGTTCATCAGTGTTATTTAAAAAAAAATAAAAGGAAAGAATTTCAGTGATGTAGATCCTCATAACTTTGTTGGTAAAATACTAGTTATTTAAAGTGATAATGCCTGACAGTGCTTTTTAAATGTTTAAAGATTTTTAAACATATGGATTTTTTTCACAAAAGACTAACATGTAGAAAATAATGAACAATAAATTCCTATGAAAAATTTATCTTCTTATTTGCCAGTTCTTGAGCAAAATATATGGTATTTAAGACTGAAAACAAGAGTGGAGTCAAGTAGAAAAATTGTGTTATTAGCAATTTATTTCACAACTGAGAGCTAGGTGGTAGGTTAGCATTTGGAATTCTTTACTTCCTAAACTAGATGTGATAAGCTTCATATTTTGTATTTCCAGAGAACAGAAGTACAGTTGACCCCTTAACAACGTGGGCATAAAGGGTGCTGACCCCCTACAATAGTTAAAAATCTGTGAATAACTTCTGACTCCCCCAAAACTTAACTGCTAATAGCCTACTGTTTATTGGAAGCCTTACCGATAACAAAAATAGTCAATTAACACAGTCCTTGCTGTACATTGTTAGATATTCACACAAAGGCACTCACATATACATGCACGATAGGTGAGTTTATTAACTGTATGGCATGATGGTTATTATTCATTAAGTGGAAGTGGATCATGATAAAAATCTTTATCTCATCGTCTTCTTCTTGAATATGCTGAGGAGGAAGATTTGGTATTGGTTGTATGTCTCAGGCACTGGCATACCCAGTCAGTGTAACTTTAAAGAAATACCTTGGAATTTCAGTCTAACTTTTTTACTTTTACTTTTTCATTTCTCTAAAACTGTTTCTGTTTGGTACCAATCTTTCTTCCACCATTTGCTTTAGTTGAAGTTCATCAGAAGTTTAGTTTAGTTTATGTCTTCTTCCTCATTGTCTGACACTGGTTCAGAAGCACTCATTTCTATCTGGCTGTCTTCTGTTAATTTCCCTGATGTGATGTCTATTAGCTCTTGAATTTCTCCGAAATCCCTATCTTGAAAAGAACCCACATATAAGTGGACCTATGCAGTTCAAACCCATAGAGTTCAAGAATCAGCTGTTTATTAAATTTGTGGGAGAAAATACAAATTATGTTAGAGAAACAAAATTATTCATTTAATGATTTTGTAGTTACAGGGAGCAGAACTGTACCTATAGGCAGAAATTAAATGAAGGCAGATTTAAGCATCATTTGAGGATGAACTTTTACAATAGCTCATAAATGTAACTGGGTTATGTTATTAGGTGTGAAATGTTCTGACTTCCAGAACATATTGAAAAACTCTTAGAAATGTTTCATAAGGGATTTAGGTATTAATTGGGAGGTTTGACTTGATAGTCCCTGCAAAGAGGGGGGCAAGGGTAGCATCTTCTGACCTTCTCTAACTTCACAAGTGGGAGGCAGAATCAGTAGCAGCAAAATAAGCCCAAGGCTGATTCCTGTGGGGCACAGGTCAGACATGCTATCACCCTCTAACCTTTTTACTAATTCTGACACCAATCATCACTCCCATGGCCTGCTATACTTTTCTGCTGTGTTCGGTAATTCATTGCAATGGCCACACACAACTCACAGACAGTACTCACAACTGTGGGGTTTATTAGGGAAGTAACAGGTTACAATTCAGATTCAAGAATGCTCAGGATATACAATTCTTCAATCAGAATAGCCTCTCCTCAGCCATGCCTGCAGGCATGCCTTTCTTTGGTCCTCAGCCTCTCAGCCTGATCTCTGACCTGCTCGGGCACGTGTTACAAAGTTCTGTTAGCCTGGCCAATAGGTGCACCCCACTCTGCCAGCAAGCCTTCTGCCTAAAGGCACTCGGCTTTCTTGTTCTGTGGGCTAGCAAGCTTGCTGCTGTGTCTCGTGCTGGTCTCTTGGTTCTCTTGCCTCTGCTGCTGCCTTCTCTCTGCCACCTCTTCAGCACTGGGATCTCAGGTCCAAAAGAAGCACTCTCCTCCTGGCTCTTCTTCTGTCTTTATGGGAATGAGATCCCCCTTTCTGCCTCTGGGATGACTCATTTTATGTCTAGTGGATGGCAAAACTGTCCAGTCCCCATATTAGGGTTCCATACACTTTATTTGCATGGTCCAACCCCCACAAGGGTGCCATGAACCTTATTTACATTATTAGCAAGCTATCCAATCCCCTTGGTGGGCCACAAACCTCACATTTACATAGTCTTTTGTAGGAATTATAAAGACCATAGCTAGAAGAGCCATAGAAAGAAATTCATTGTTCCACAGTCCCTAAAGTAATTTTTGATGTAAAGTCTTTTGATTCTGCAGTTCTCTGGGAGTACTATTCTGATTTTATTTTAGATAAACTTAAAAAAGATTTATCCTGTAGGAAGTATCTTAGAATAAAGGAAAATACTTAAGGTACTTTATTAATCAAGTCATATCTCCAACTTCTTTTCAATCATAATTTTTTAAGTTCTGCTTTACAAAGCATTTTCCTAGTTCATCTTAGGCGTATCACAAGCAGAAAAATCTCTTCCTCAAAAGTGGTAGGAAAGTGGATTTTAAGGTAAGTGGAGTGAAGCTGCTTTTTGGTCAGGATACACCAGGGAATCTTAGATAGTCCGGAGGAAGTCAGCTAGTGGCTTGAATGAATGCTGTGTTGTAAAATCATTGTTAGAGAATAAAGCAAGTCTCTTACATATGACAAAAGTAAAACTGTAATAGTATGGCATCACTAGTCTCCAAGGTGTAGAAGCACTGACCAAGAGGTGTTGATAAGTATTTGACTGTGAAAAAACAACTTTTTATGATTTCTTTCTAGTTTGGTAGGAGGGTAGGGGTTGTTGTTGGTTCTTAACTATGCTTAGACTTTGAAACAATTTGACATTAAGGAGAGAAACTCAATCATCAGAAAGCTTAAAAAATCCAGAGAAGGGAATGTATTTAATTATACTTACAGCTTTATTTAATAATAAAAACTTCTGATGTCTACCCTCTTTATGTTCTTAACATTATGTTCAATAACTAATAAAGATTTGAGGTCTAGCACTGCATCAAAAAGGAAGCACTTAAGGTACAAGGGGTATAGACAATGATATATTGTATATACAATGCTATTGTTTATACAGTAGTGCATTATCAGTAATAAAATGCAACACAATGCACTGCCATTGAGTTGGATCCAACTCATAGCGACCCTTTCTTGGGTTTCTGAGACAGCATCATTACGAAAGTAGATTGCCCAACCTTCCTTCCAGGGAGTGCCTAGTGGGTTTGAACTGCCAGCCTTCTGGTTAGCAGTCAAATGCCTTAGGCACTAAGCCACCAGAGCTCCTATTATCAATAATAACAAAACACTACTCTACAGGTGGATACATAGGTAGACAGGCAGGAAGATCAGGTCTGGATAGGCTAGTGGGAATATACCGATGACCATACATAGATAGGTTTGGCAGACGATACTCTACATATGTGTGTGCTATAAAAATGTTTATATGCAGTTTAAAACTAAATGGGGGCAGAGTTAGAGTTAGGATAACTTCTTAGCCACAACTAAGCACCTTGAGGAAGTGAGTCTCTGGTCCTGTGGGCTAGGGACCATGGTCACAGTAAACATCAAGCTCAATTGGTACAACATGCTATACAAGAATACTGTTCTACATCTTACTTGATGAGTAGTGACTAGAGTCTTAAAAGCTTTCGAGTGGCCATCTAAGAGGCGACTATTGGTCTTTTCTTGTTGGAGCAAAGATGAGTAAAGAAAATCAAAGACTCATGGATACAGTCCAAATGAGAACTTCAGCCTACATGGCCCTGAGTGAGACCAAAAAAAAAAAAAAAAACAACCAAATTCACTGCTGTTGAGTTGATCCTGACTCATAACGACCCCTCCTTGGATTTCTGAGGCAATATCTCTATGGAAGTAGATTGCCCGATCTTCCTTCCCAGGAGTGGCTGGCTGGGGTTTGAACCACTGGCCTTCTGGTTAGCAGTCAAATGCCTTAGGCACTATGCCACCAGAGCTCCTAGGATGAGACCAGAAGATCGAAATTATGCCCAGCTACGAATGCCAACCACTCGGATCAAAATTGGCAATCGTGGATAGAGTGGGAGAAAACTGAAGAACAAAACTCAAAATCATTAAAAAAAAAAAAAAACAAGCTTACTGGTCTGATAGAGATAGAGACCAGTGAACCCCCAAGACAATGACCCTGGGTCAGCCCTCAGGCCTGGAATTGAACTCACTCTTGTAGCTTAACTCAGCCAAACAATAGGTCTAGGAGCCAAACAACTACACCAGGGACATGCACTCCTTAGAACAATCAACTATGGGAGATCAAAAGAGCAGCATTTGCACAGGGAGAAAGGTGGGCAAGAATACATAGGCAAGGACACAGGGAGGAAGTGGAAGGAGAGCTGTTACAGTGTGGGGGAGTATGATCAGTGTCACAAAACAAAATGTGTATGAACTATTGAATGTGAAACAAATCTGCATTGCAAAATTTCATCCAGATCACAAGAAACCTTTTTTAAAAATAAGGAACCACTTTAAGTAATAAGATTCTTTTAATTGGTAAATACTAAGGGATGAACAACAGTTAAGTGCTTGGCTGCTAACCAAAAGGTTGGTGTTTTGAACCCACCTAGCAGCCACTCCTCGGAAGGAAGGTTGGGCAATCCTACTTCCGTAGTGATACTGCCTCGGAAACCCAAGGAGGGGTCGCTAGGAGTCGGGGCAGACTCGACGGCAAACAACAACAACAACAACTAAAGCAGCTCTATGAGGGAAAGACCTGGTAATCTATTCCTATAAAGATTATATAGCCTTGAAAACCCTATAAACCAAAACCAAACTCATTGCTATTGAGTCGATTCCAACTCATAGCAACCCCCATTGGATTTCCAAGGCAGTAGTGCCTAAGGCATTTAACTGCTAACAAGAAGGCTGGTGGTTCAAATCCACCAGCCACTCCTTGGAAGGAAGGTTGGGCAATCTACTTCCGTAGTGATACCACCTTGGAAACCCAAGGAGGGGTCGCTATGAATTGGATCCAACTCGACAACAGTGAGTTTAGTTTGGTTTTTTGGAAATCTTTATGGAAGTAGGCTCCTCCATTTTCCTTCTGTGGAGTGGCTGCTGGGTTTGAACTGCCAGCTTTCTGGTTAGCAGTCAAATGCCTTTAAGCACTGCACCACC